CAATTCGACTTGAATTTGGCTATCGAATTTATACCAAATATTATTAGTAAGCAGTTGTCGATTATTAGTATTCGGTGATCGATTATAAGTCGATTTATTGTAATTAATCGACTACCGAATGAAATGGCCGAATCGACCTGAATTCAGCCATCAAATTTATACCAATTTTATTCCGAATTTTATAAGTATTCGGTGGTCGATTATAAGTTGACTTATTGTAATTAATCGACTACCAAATGAAATGGCTGAATCGACCTAAATTCGGCCATCAAATTTATACCGATTTTATTCTGAATTTTATAAGTATTCAGTCGTCGATTACAGATCGATTTTTATTATGTCAATGGGTTGTTAATTGAAATTTTCGACCTAAATTCAGTTGCCGATTTTTTATTAGCATTTGACTGTCTATTAGCTACCGATTTACCGTACGCCACTGACTAAAGTACCTCAGGTACTATTCAATAAACCATCAAATTTCTTGAATAGTATCCGCCCGGGTATTAATTACGGGGGAGGGCACTATAATAGGGGAATACTTTACATAGTTTTAATATTATTTAATAAGAATCTCGAATCTAAATATATATATATCTAACTAGAATAATACCCAGGTCTTATTCAATTTTCTGAATCACGAACCCATAAATAGTACCCGGGTCTTTTTCATAGGGAGTATTATTGCAGGGGGGTACTTTAGTCAGTAGCGTACGGTACTCTATCATTCAGTATAATATTAGCCAAATATTCGACGGTCGAATTCAGGTCGATTCAGCTATTTCATTCAGTGGTCGAATTTCTTATATTCGACTAGTAGACCCCAGAAACTTTAATTATATATAAAGTTTATTTTTTAAAGCAATGTATATTCCACAATTTCACTATTATAAACAAACTAATTTAAACTACATATCATATAAATTTGATAAAAATTAACTGAAATGCTAAAAAGTTTAATTAGAAATGTTTTTTATTTACTATATAAAAATTCAATGTACTATGCAGATCATATGAAAAATAATCTACATACACCCTATCTTTAAATATAAAAAATTTTATAAAATTTGTTAAATTTAAAATTAATATATAAGGATGTGGTAACTTAGAGTAGTGATTAAGTTGTCTAGAGTTCAAATCTTACTGGAAGCATTTTTAGAAAAATAGGTCTGAATATCAGTAACATTTATTTGATAATTAGTTGGATATATTACCTGTAATCTTGATATTATCATCTTGAAATGGAAATTCTTGGGCAATTTAAATTCAAGGAATTAGAATAATTGAAACCTGTTTGGCAAGACCTGAGCAAGGATATAGTGAAGATTTTTGACGATATTGCAGAAAGCCAAAACTGGAGACCAAAGAACTGGACAAAAATCCTGAGGCAAGAAGAATTTACCAACCTAGCTACTAGAGTTGCACTAAAGGAAAAGGTCCTATATTATAGAATTAAGAACCAAAAGAAGTAAAACCAGAAAGCACCTAAAGCTGAGATATAATAACCTATCTGGGCTAATTGGTTTGATAGTTTAGAAGAGATCAGTTAAAGAACTAGTTGATGTAGATATTAGGATTAGAATGAACTTTGTAAAAGCACTAAATACTGGAATTGTGGGTTTAATGGTTTGCTCTGACTACTAGTGGTGGTTTTGGCTGCTATGGAAGGTATTTGTAGCCTAATCTGAAAATGTGTAGAATATATAAAGATTAGGAAGTATATACTACACCCTCTTTAAAGCAATCTGGTAATATGAGAATCTTACTGGTTATTTATAGAATTAGGATACAAATAGTATAGCAGATGTCGATCTGAGTGATCTTCAATAAGAAGCAGCACAAGGTTATATGCTAGCATGATTGTGGTGGGTAGTATAAAACAGAGACATCAGAAAGTTTAATTGGATAACTCAAATAATAGTGGGTTATAGGTATAGCATCTAGTATAGAACCTAGTAATAGGCAGCTACTTAATTAGGTGCTTAAAAGGTACAGAAATAGCTAGAATGTACTTTCGTTAACCAAAAATATACTATCTAAAATATCTAATAAAAATCTACCTTCATGTGATATTGTAAAGATTTAAAAAAAAATTAATATATAAAGTTAATACTATATTTATAATAAAAAAAATATAAATAAAATTTTTATAATTTTAAAAAATCCAAATTATATTTTATATTTTAATATTAGCTATTTAATATTAGCCTTACAATAATTAAAAATTTTAAACCAAAAAAAATTTTCAATTTAATATACTAATATTTATAATAACATATATATATTAACCTATTACTAGAAATTTTAAATAAACCAACATTTAAATAACTAAATTAAAAATATAATAAAAAACATAAAGCATTTACAAACTATAAAAAACAAAAATACAAACTTCAAAATTTTAAACTAAATAACCTATAAAATAATTAAAACCACTTAGATAAATCTGTTTAAGTTAACTGTAAACTCTAGCAAAACAAAAAAGTTAAAAAGCACAAAATCATAAATCTAGCCTTGGATTAGCCCTAATAAATCCTGTAACCTAATAATGTAAAAAAATGTGTATATAAATGCTATATAATCATTCTATAATCTAACAAAAGTCCAAACCCCAAAAAGATCACCTTAAACAAAAAAATAAATAATAAAAATACATTTATTCTTAAATATATATACAATAAAAAGGCAAAGATTTTTTTAAAATAGTGCACCTGCTTCTTTTCCATCGGCAACAAAATTACGAGGTCAGACGAAGATCAGAAATAGTGTATAAATGCTCATTATTCTATGAAATCGCTTTTCGTGCTCTAGCAAAAAAAAAAAAAAATGTTCGCAAAATTTTAGTGTATAACCTATCAATTTGGCCTTTGCTAAACAAATGTTAGGCTCCAATTTTGATTTAATATCCTTAAATAATTACATCTTTAGTTATGTATTAAATGTTTATAATATTTATTATTTTATCATGCTATAAAAACAATCGTGACTTAGTAACAATCTATAAGTTAAAAAACAACACACACATTATTTCAATTTAAATCTATCTTGAGTAGCTGCTAACAAATTTCAATCCTTTATCATAAATGTATACATTTCTACAGTTTATCATGATGTTACAAACCTTTACACATAATTATAAGAATCCTAGAGATCATCATAGGCTATTATTTTTCGTTTGTGTCCATGTAATCGTGGATCAAAAGCCTGTGGTGGTGGCGCAGGTGTAGCTGGCAATACTATTTGAAATAATGATTAGGCAAAAGCAACAAAATAGATATAAAATTAAAACTTACTACCTGTTTGAGCTGAAAACGAGGAAGTGGTATTAAACATATATGTAATCGGTTTTGTTTCATTTAGTCTGGCCTCAGCACCATCTAAAATGATGATTTAAATTTGATAACCATTTTGTTAAAAAGCTTAAGCAAACAGTTGATAAATTTCTAACCTGCATCACTCCATGGTACATTGCCAAAACCATTCTTATTTCGTTCAGGTCGTTTCGCTCTATTCACTATGAGTATAGTTAAATATCATTAGTGATTTCAAATGATCGTTATTCATTTGATTAATTATATTTAACATTTATATACACCTTGTACATAACCTGAACCGAGTAAAGTATTATTCATTCTGCGACGAGCTTCATTGGCATTTTCTTCAGTGTCAAAATCAATAAATGCGATTCTATAAAAGAGGATAGCGTGTTTTCAATAATGGTTGTAATAATAATATATCAATAATATGTTAGTAAAAGAACTACTAATCACCCTTTTTCTGGTAACATATCAATACTTTCAATGTCACCAAATCTCTCAAAAGCGTTATGCAGTGCACGCTCAGAAACATCTCGAAGTTCACCAACATAAATCTTTCTGGTATAGAATTCGGTGTCAATATATTTACTTGCTGTTGAGAATGGCTAACCAAATTATACACAACCGAATAAGTACTTAAAAAAAAAAATATATATATATATAAGAAACATGAGAAGTTACATCTTCTTGTACAGATTGTGACCATTTCCTCCCCTCAGGGCCAATGCTTCTATCTCGAGAATGAGAACGCCTTCGACCATTAGGCCTTCTATCATTATCGTCTTCACTATCCGATGATCTACGTGACCATGTTCTAATACGTTTTCGATCTTTATGCCTATCGTCATCACTGCGATAATAGTCTTCTCGATCGCTATCTGAATGTCTATAATAGCCTGAACGTCTTGGGACATAGCTGTCGTATTGCAGTTTCCTATAGTGATAATTGCTTGATCGAGACTCGTAGTAATCGTCAGAAGGTCGATACCGTGAAGAACGACTGCTACTACTATATCTTCGATATTCAGATCTGTGACGCTCATAGTCGCTGTGATCGCTATTATCTAAGTCATCATTTCGCTGACGACCATTACGGCGCAACATACGACCAAACTCGTCCACTTCGACAGGCTCCCTATTAATGATTAAATTCAATGGTGTATTATTAAATGATGTTTAATAAATGAAAATCGCAGCATCCTTATAGAACTTACTCATCTTTTTTTTCATCAGAAGTTGATTTTGACTGATGAATGATATTATCGTTGGTCGAAAGGCTTTGAACTTCGTCTGGCTCAACTTTACGGGGTTGTTGTGAGTTGTCTTCTTTAGCCTTATCATGGTAGAAAAAAAAAATATTGTAAATTGATCCAGACATTTAATAAATAAATCGGATTCGAATATTATTCATTACATACCACCACCATCTTTAACTAACGGATTGATAAAGGAGAAAAAGAGAAAAAAAAAAATACTAGCATATGTAATGTCCAAAAAAAAAAAAAAAAAAAAAAAAAAAAAACGTACAGAAATTACTAATTCAAAGAAGGCAATCTTGCGCCAAAAAACAAATTGGTTTTTCTTGCCATAACAT